ACCTGCTGCTGCCCTCGCCGGTCTCTGCTCTAAAGCCGTTGGCCGGCGGCCCAGGCCTCGGGCCCGCGGGTTCCACGTTCATCCACCCGCTCACCGGCAAGCCCCTGGACCCCAGCTCGCCCCTGGCGCTCGCCCTGGCCGCCCGAGAACGGGCTCTGGCCTCGCAGGCGCCCTCCCGCTCCCCCACGCCCGTGCACAGCCCGGATGCTGACCGCCCCGGCCCCCTGTTTGTGGACGTGCAGGCCCGGGACTCGGAGCGAGGCACCCTAGCCTCCCCCGCCTTCTCTCCGCGGAGCCCGGCCTGGATTCCTGTGCCTGCTCGCAGGGAGGCGGAGAAGTCGCCCCGGGAGGAGCGGAAGTCGCCGGAGGACAAGAAGTCCATGATTCTCAGCGTCCTGGACACGTCCCTGCAGCGGCCTGCTGGCCTCATTGTTGTGCACGCCACCAGCAATGGGCAGGAGCCTAGCAGGCTGGGGGCCGAAGAGGAGCGCCCGGGCACCCCAGAGCTGGCCCCGGCCCCCATGCAGTCAGCTGCAGTAGCAGAGCCCCTGCCCAGCCCCCGAGCCCAGCCCCCTGGGGTCACCCCAGCAGACACCGGGCCAGGCCAGGGCAGCTCGGAGGAAGAGCCAGAGCTGGTGTTTGCTGTCAACCTGCCACCTGCCCAACTGTCCTCCAGCGATGAGGAGACCAGGGAGGAACTGGCCCGCATTGGGCTGGTGCCACCCCCTGAAGAGTTTGCCAATGGGGTCCTGCTGGCCACCCCACTCACCGGCCCGGGCCCTTCGCCCACCACGGTGCCCAGCCCGGCCTCAGGGAAGCCCAGCAGCGAGCCACCCCCTGCCCCCGAGTCTGCAGCCGACTCAGGGGTGGAGGAGGCTGACACGCGCAGCTCCAGCGACCCCCACCTGGAGACCACAAGCACCATCTCCACAGTGTCCAGCATGTCCACCCTGAGCTCAGAGAGCGGGGAACTCACCGACACCCACACCTCCTTCGCCGATGGACACACTTTTCTACTCGAGAAGCCACCAGTGCCTCCCAAGCCCAAGCTCAAGTCCCCGCTGGGGAAGGGGCCGGTGACCTTCAGGGACCCGCTGCTGAAGCAGTCCTCGGACAGCGAGCTCATGGCCCAGCAGCACCATGCCGCCTCTGCCGGGCTGGCCTCTGCCGCCGGGCCTGCCCGCCCTCGCTACCTCTTCCAGAGAAGGTCCAAGCTATGGGGGGACCCCGTGGAGAGCCGGGGGCTCCCTGGGCCTGAAGACGACAAACCAACTGTGATCAGTGAGCTCAGTTCTCGCCTGCAGCAGCTGAACAAAGACACACGCTCCCTGGGGGAGGAACCGGTTGGTGGCCTGGGCGGCCTGCTGGACCCTGCCAAGAAGTCGCCCATCGCAGCAGCTCGGTGAGCAGGGTGGTCTGGGGAGGGTCCTGTGTCTTATCCATGGCCCCCTCTGTTCTTCCTCATGTCCATTCTCAGGCTCCTGTCTCTCCTCGTTCTGTCCTCTTAACTGTCTGTGGCACCTCCCCGCCCTGCTGGCCCTCCACCTCTGTATCTGGTCTTGCTTTGCTTGTCTGAGCTAGAAGTCTCTCTGGGGCATTTGGCACATCAGGGCTGCTGCTCACCACGTCCCTGTTGGTGCTGGAAGTGGAAGCTGGGAAGAGGCCCAGGTCGGGCACGAGCACCTCCATGGCCCTTCTGGAGGCTCTCTGCCCCAAGGGCTCTCTTGGGTTCTTGCTCTCTCGTTTCTGACCCAAGCTGCCTCCACATTGCCGGTAGTCTTAGGGTTGGTCTCCTTTGGAGTTGCACCTCCCTCTCCCTCTCCTCTCCTCTCTGTTGCCATGTGGCTGGTGCCCTCTGCCCTAAAGCTGCCTCCTGCCTTGACTTTCTTTCGAGGCACACTGGCTCCCTTTGCGGGGGACCTGCCACTAACTTCCTGTTTTCTGCCCCGGAAGCATTTTCTGGTTTTTGGCACCACCTTAGAGTCCCTTGAACAGTGTCTTTTGTGTCATTTTTGAAGTGCGTTAAGAAGACAGATGGAAGTCACATCATCTCCCTGCACCCCCATATGCCCTCCTGCCTTATCCTCCGATCTCCCTGTCTCTGTCTGCCCTGCCCCCTACCCAGGGGAGGATTTGGGGAGAGTAGCTAGCAGGGTGCTGGGGTGCCGCCAAGACTGTTGCTGCTCTGTCTAGGCAGAAGCTGCCAGAGCACCTGGGCTGATCCCATAGGTCTTTTCCTTGAGAACCCCACCCTCAAAAGCTCTCTCTGAAGAGGATTCCCTCAGGCCCCTGGGCTGCATGGATGCTGGTGGCAGATCTGGTCGCCCCCTGCCAGCCCTCTTGTCTGCCTTTTTCAAACTGCTTTTGCCTTCTGTGTCCCTAGGTCTCCCCTCCCATTTCTGGGTTTGTGGGGGAGTGTGTTCTAACCTGTGACTCCTCCTTCTTGCCCCCCTGAAGACCAACCTAGCAGACCCTTTACTGTCAGCCTTGGAAGGCAGAGTTCACAAAGCAGCCAGGTGTTAAGAGTGTAAGGAATTTGCAGGTCTTGCTCACAAGATCCTGGCCATTCTAACCCTCTTTCAGTTCAGGATTTAAAAGATCAGTGGGAGCTTGGGAAGCTCACGGTGCTTCTCCTGAGATCCAGGGATACTCCTGTCATCCCATGGCCTTGCTCTGGGTCCCTCTCCCCTTTGAGCGTCTCCCAACTCCCAGCCAGACTGGAAAGCCCTCGTCCCAGCAGTGCAGTGGGAAAGTGCCTGGAGAGTGGGTGTTATGGGTATGGATGGTAAGCATCCAGTCAGGATGAGCAGCCCAGGTTCTCAACCTCTAAGCAGGACCAGACCCTGAGGATGAGCGCTCCAGCCTTGACCAGCCCCTGTCTTTCCTCTCTGCTTCTCCTCCCTCAGCCAGCCCCTTCGCTCCTCTCTGCCTCTTGGTCTCAATGAAAATCAAAGCCATTCTAAGTGCCTGGCATGCCTGGCTTGGTGCAGGCCCTCAATAAACATTTGTCAACTGGATGAAAGAATGACGCTAACTGCAAGTGCTGTCTTTTGTGATATGAGATCCAGGGAGGCAGCTTAGGACAAACACCAGAGAAGGACTGACAGCGGCTCAGATTTACTGGGTATCGAGCCTCCACGGTCGGGCTCAGGTGATCCCAGTTCTCATCATTGGCTCTGCGTGCTCCCATGGGGTGGCTGGGACAGGGTCCAGGTGACTCCTCAGCTGGAAACTTCCAGCATGCCCCTTCTTTGAGTTCATCTTCCCACTCTGGTCTTCAGCATTTTGCCTTATTCAGGGTAAGGCTCTCTTAGCCCATGGCTTTGGGTTTCACCAGGTTTCTGTTTTCCTTTCTCAGATGCGGGATGGGAAGGGCAAGAGTGGCAGCTATGATTCTTATGTTACATCTGTTCCACAGGCTCCTCCCCCAGCCCTCAACAGTGCTCTTACACTCAGCAGTTCCTGCAGAAGTCCAGGAAAAGTCCACATGGTTGGCTTCATGTGGGTCCTCTGCTTTTCCCTGTCCAATCGTTGGGGTCGGGGGTGTAGGGCTGTCGTTGGCCAGGCTTGAGTCCTGTAATCCCCCAGGAACCATGGGAATGGGTCTGTCCACCTAGCAAGCAGGTGCTGAGAGAGAGGGGAGGTGGCTTTCCAAAGGGAAATTCAGTGCTGTCATGGGAGGAACCAGATGCTGGAACAACTGATGTCTCTGTGACACAGCACTCTCTAACTTCAGCAGCTCACTTCTTTGCCTGACACTGGCATGGGGCCATCAGATGGCACTGGATATCAACCCTAACATGTCACATCCTAGCTCTGTCATCCTAGACAAGTCACTTAACTTCACCCTAGACCAGTCACTGAACTTTCACCCTCCCCTGTGAAATAAGTTTGGAGTGAATGAACTTCACAGCCTGTCTCAAGGTGGCATGCAACATCACCTGTGAAGCACTGAGCAGGACCAGGGCTGGGCACACGCTCCCTTACTGATGTGGACCATCATTGTTTCTGTTGTCACTAATACCAAGACACTCAGGCACTTAGGCCAAGTCTTAGAGTTCTTTGTGGGAAAATGGGCGCACTAGATGTAGCATTAGAAATGGGCACACTAGATGTAGCATTGGAAACTGTCCCGTCATAGTAGTTTGTCTTCACACCATTCTGTTAGTTGGGCCATAGTATAGTTTCCATTTTCCAGACAATGAAACTGAGAGTCCAGAATTTCATTCCAGCCAGTAAATGAAGGTTTCTGTCTGACCACCTTGCTCTCTGGCTGCCATAATGTGGAGCCTGTAGCATTAATGACATGCACTGGGCTGATGCCCAGTGATCCCTCCCAAAGAAGTGGCAGATATGTACATTATCCAGCACAGACACACATGCCGGTATTTATTAGTCATGTGTGTAATAAGTAGCACCCGGTGTCACCTGATCAGCCCAGCTGCATCAAACCACCCTTCTGCTCTGCAGACTCCTATTCTGTTTGTCCTTGTGTTTTCTTCTGTTCCTGTTCACTCTTCCTTCTACCCTCTTGTGCTCCTTCTTGCCTTCAGACCTGGGCAAAACCACAGCCATCTGGAGTAGGCCCAGTGCCCACCCTGGCCCCTTTACTTTTGGCTGCAGGTGGGGGCAGGGGGTGGGGGGAATTGCAGAAAGCTGTGGCCATGTCTGAATCCAGTACTGTTTCACATCTGGTCGTATGCATGCCCACTGTGGCTGTGGTCCCTTCGCAGCTGCTTGTCCTGCAACCAGTGGTGGACGGACAAAACTGTTAGTGAAACTGACTTTTAGAGAAATGTCCAAAGTGCGGGAAGTTCTGACATCCAGATGTGACTACTTCCTTTCTGGGACCAATCCTGGGAGAGGACCAATCCTTAGGCTGCCCTCAGGATCAGACCCTGAGTCATGTCCCCAGCCTCCTGTGTATTCCCTCAATGTCATCTCCCAGGTCCATCTCTCTCCTCACTGACTGACCCCACAAGGAAGGAAACTCCCCTCTCTGCCTACCCTCTCCACAGATGGCTCTAATGTTCTTTAGCCACGAAGCGCTCTGTGGTCTGAGATCTTTCTGGGCAAGTTAAGCTGCCTGGTATGTCATGGAGCCAAAGCTTGGTGACCTGTGGAAGAAGGTCACGCTTATTTGGGTTGGGGCCACCTTTGATTTTTTGGATGGCAGCTGGAGTATGCAGCACCTTCATGCTGCCTCTGGAAGGTCCAGGACCCTTGGGTTTCTGAAGCATTGATCCCAGATTGTCCACCTGCCCTGTGTTTCCAGCTTCGAGTCTAGCCCTGCTGGACAGACACTCATCTACTCAGAGCCCCTCCTCTGTCTCTGCTTTGGGCTCCACACCTGACTCTGAGGCTGCATTTGGTCATTGATTCAACCTGACTCTGAGCTCCACAACTGACCTTAGGCTCCCCACCTGTCTGTGAGGCCCACGCCTGTCTCTGAGCTTCACTTGTCTTCCAGGTTCCGTGCTTGGATCCCCATGCTCTGAATCCCACGTGCAGTCTGAGGTCCACAGCAGTACTCAGTTCTACCTTGGCTCTTAGAATATACCTGTCTAACTTTCACATTTGGTCTGTGGAGTAACTTAATAGTGAAATAGCTTTGGAAACACAAAGCTATGGAGGTTCTTTGCCGCAGTACTTCTAGTGCCTTTGATAAGCTTACGTGGAGGCAGGCACTGTGTGCTGTGGCAACCTATTCGGGTCACAACTGGATCTCACAGAAGACCCACATTCCTCATGATGGTGAAGAAACTCTGCCCGGCGGCCTGCTGTAGGCCCTTTCTGCTGATACGTTTGTCAGAGATCTGGACAAATTACCATGTGCTCAGCTGATCATATCTGCAGGTGCCATGTGCTCAGCTGATCATACCTGCAGGTGCCTCGAGGCCAGCAAGGCCTGTTCTTCTGAAACCCAGATTGAATGTGTCACGCACCTGCCAGCCGGGGCACTGGGGCCAGGATGAACTCTGTCCCTGCAGGCCAGATGCAGTATGGACATGTGCACTTGTGTTCCTAGGAGCCCTGACCTCTCCTGGGGGAGTAAGAAGTGGGCACAGAGGAGGGGACATAGGACACTTGGGCAAGTCAGGGCTGAGCTGGGAACAGGTGTGGGTGTGGAGGAGTAAAGCAGGTCACCAGAGAGGATGCCTGGGAGCTTCAGAACCATGTCTAGTTGTGTGCTCCTACTGAGGCTTATTTGCCTTAACAAGTTCCCCAATGTGCAGAAGGTCACTGTGTGAGTATGGGCCAGAGGGGCTGACACAGAGGCCAAGGCCAGAGTGTGGACATTTTCCTGTTCATTGGTACCAATGGGCTGGTGGAGTTGGGCAAGCCTGGGAGGGACATGTCATGTATTTTTGTGTGATTTTCTTTTTCCAGTGCACCTTGTAT